TAGTATGGTGTGGTATGGTGTGGTATGGTATGGTAATGGTATGGTATGGTATGGTATGAAAGAAATGTTTGGGATACATTGGTCAGGAAACATTCCAGTATTCAAGGTAATACTAAGATAGCCACCCCACACTTTTCATGGAAATCACATATACTGTTGCTACTGATGAATTGTTGAAGCTGATGCTGAACTTGTCTGCCATTTGTCCTTTGGACTTGATGTGCAGGAGTCTCATGAAGGAAACAACATTAGGTCAGTTGATGTTGTGCCTTGGCAACCAGTATGGGCATTTTTCCATTTATAGCTACACAGGAAAGGTATGGATAATAACCTGAGTTCATCTAAAAGTGTCTAACACCTGAAGAGGAAACTTTTTGCCCTAGAAAAAAGGAAAGGAAACCCAAGCTTATAATCTATATGTGTATACATATCTACATGCATACATACATACACATATGTCAACATACACACATATACATACATACATACATATATATGACGAATATGTATGCTGTATTTGAGAAACAGTGTGGCACAGTGGATAATGTTTCAGACTTGAAGTCTGGAAGACTTCCAGAAAGAAAGTCCTCTTTCTTACACTTACTAACTGTAGGGCCATGGACAAGTATATAGCTATATATAGTTCTAGAGCTCAGTCAGCCCTCTAACACTTATCTGTTAAGTTACTGATGAGATTTCAGATCCTTGATGTGTATGTATATATGTCTTTATCATAGGATCATAGATTTAGAGCTGAAGTGACCCTACAGAGTATTGAGTCCAACCTCCTTATTTTACAGAAAAGGAAACTGAGTCACAGATAGATTGTGACTTTCCCCAGTCTCAGATTCCCTGTCCTCTGATTCCAAATACAAGGTTCTTTCCTCTTTGCTTTGCTGCCTCCATATCATGTATCTCTGAATTATTCACAGGCATTGAGAAATCACTTCTATACCTCTAACTTCAAAACAAAAGGAAAAGTAATGTAAAGTTTCAAGATTCTTTTTTTTTTTTTGGTATGTAGTCAATTCTTGATTATCCACCTGTGGATAAACCACTGCATAGCTTATCAGTGGCCCAGTTTTAATCCTGGTTGGCTTACCCTTGCCATCCAGTTTTCTTCTGGGCTGTCTGCCCTGCCATCAGTTGGTGTGTACTCAGGGAATGCAAACTCATTTTAATATTGCTTTAGCCAAACCTCATTAAGAAGGTAAATCTGCTGTTGCTGCAAACCCCGCCCCCCCGCCAACACCACATAATACATTCCAAAGAAATACACATATATGTTATTTTGGGTTATCAGAGGTTATGAATTCATATGGCCAATTAGGATGGATAATCAAGAGTTTACTGTATTGGGTTTTATTTCTTCATTTCTTGGTCGAGTCCATCCCTATAGGTTCTTTTTAAAATGGCCACTTTTATGGCAAACCTGTAAAATATTGTTTATTGACAATTCCAATGAATAGCTTGTCCTTATTTTTAAAATCCTATTGTAACTTTGCAAGAGAATGACTCACCTAGAGGTGCAAAGTTTGGTTTCTTTTTGGCACAGGTTAAGTAAGAGTTATGTTGAGCACAGTTCTGGGGTGTTGGAGAAAGCATGGCTTTGGTGAGAGAAGAAACTGCTGTTTGGGAAAGACACGGACCACAGGAGGGAAGCGGGGAGGCTGCGTCAATGATACTCTGACTTGTTCTGGTGCTGGTTAGTGTAGGAACTCCCATGATAAATGATTCTGGGGTCCCTGGCTTTATTTAGTGATATGAAGTGGAGGTTGGGAGGCAGGGTCCTTGACATCTCTAACTAATTACAACTATGGGATCCCTCCAGACCTCCCTCTGTCCTTGCTAAGGAATCATCAGACATTTTACTCAATTGTCTTGGAGGAAACACATATGATTTTTCTGTTGTCTAAGTAGTGGAGAATAAGGATGGAGAGTCCATGGCCTGAACCTGAGCCACTGTTTAGCATTTCCCTGGAACCAGCTTCAGGAAGGTCATGTCCCCTTTGGTGATCTTCTTCTTTTTTCTTTCATTCTGTTGCCAAGGCCACTCCTCAGACTTGAGGTCTGGGTTGTGTTTATGGAAAGGCATCGACAGTAGCAGGGGGATGATGGGAGAGCCTGGAGTGCTAGGTCTCACTGGTATGCTCAACTTGAGTGGAAGCCTTGGTGAAATGCTATCCATGTGCATCAACTTCTGGAACCCTGCCCAGCTAGCTATTCTACCTAAATTTCCCCCGTGTCCCCATTCAATTCACTGGAATGAATTTTTTTCCCTTTAGGTAGGAAGTTAGATGCCCTGCCACCCTGCAACAGGGACTCACTTCCCTGCTAGATTTTCCCAAGCAAAAGTAGAGGCTGTCCTAGAGCTTGACAAAGAAGGCCCTCTCTTTCCCTGGTCTTATTAGAGCCATAACTCTGACTGTGAAATCTGGGAAACTGCATGCCACATCTGAGTGGTGTATCCAGTGTCCAATATATACACTCAGAAACTATGTCTCTCTCTTCCTTGCTTGCTACCTTCCCCTAATTTTCTAGTTTGGTGCAGCCTTCAGGTGGCTCTTCGGTTGTTCCTATTAGCTAGACCAGTTTGTGGGGTGCATCAAAGATACTGCCCCTGACAACCTTGTTGCCAGAGCCCTATCTCTAATCCTGATTCCCACCCAGGGCCCATTTCCTTTCTGCTCCCCTCACTTCAATTCAAAACCTGCTTCTGGCCAACACTTCTTTTCCACCCAGAATTTTTTTGGGGAAAGGAGAAAGCCCACCTTGACCACCACCCTCCTCCTCTCTGGAGCTTGTCCCCCCCATCCCCACCATGGCCACTGTAGAGAACTGCATCTAACTCTAGCAATGAATGGGAGAAGTGGGGCACTACCCCTGGACTTGGGCCTCTCCTCAACTCTTTCCTACAAGTCTTGTAGTTGGGGGACTTTGTTTCTATGTGATTTGCTTCTGCCAATACTCTAGCCTAGAAAAGTCTGAACAAATCTACATGTTCACTTACCAAAGCATGGAACATATGTAGGCAATTCTCTTTTCCCCCACCAGAGATGCTGGGGCATATGTGTATACTAGTTCAAATACCTTCAGCTTGTTTATATGTAGACACACACACACACACACACACACACACACACACACAATCACTCCCCTACCCAACTATTTTCTTAATATCATGGCAGGTTAAAAAGCAATTACATAAGAGGTGCCCCCAGCCACACTAGGGCGCCTCTGAGAACAGTCAAGGGCATTAACCTTTTCTACTCCCTCCAAACTATCTTTCCTCTTTTTGACAGCACCAAGAAGGATGTGAAGATCATGGTAGCAGAAGGGCTATATATAGTTAGAAGTGGATTCTCACCTTGAGTGACCCAAGGGGTAAATGTCTTTGTCTAGTTTGGCTGAAAGAGAGGGATGTATTAGATTCTGATTCTGTTCCGTTAGCAGTCATTACCTTGCAGGATCTAAGGGAAATGTCACAATTCCTGTCTTCCATGGTACCAGGGGGTAGGGTAGTGAAATTGTCAAACTATAGAACACAGCAGCAAAACAGAACAATTCTTATAGTGCCATATAATTATGCCACACAATCCAGGGATGCTTACCAACCATGCCACATTAACTTGTAGAGCTGTCCAACACCCGCCACACAAACTGAAGGGTGTGTTCCAACAATGCAATGCTTCACAAACCATCACGATGCTGTGCGATGTAATCGAACCACAAGACATGGTCGTACTGCCTAGTCCTGGAGTTCTCCCATTTTCTAGGTGCCTCATGTCACAAAAAACTCCTGGCAATACCCTTCCACCAGTTATGAGACGCAGACAAGAGGTTAGTAAAGGAGTCTATTTATTCCAAAGGCCTGTGTCAAGGAAACTTCTAATGCCTTCCCTCAAGAAGTCATCCTAACTTCATTCTGAACTGAAGATAGCAATTAGGTACTAAGACCTTTTAAATTACTAGGTATGAAGGGTATGTATATCTGGGGTGTGTGTGTGTATATGTGTAGTCTCTTGACCTTAGTTACTCTGTGCCAGGCTGTCACCTCTATTCCCTGGCAATGATGGGTCCTGTGACTTCCTCTCCTCCTTCCTCTGCCTCCCAGCTGCTATTTTTAAAGTTGTACTCTTTGACTTTGGAGAGCAGGGGGCCCAGGGATTTCAGATATGGAGAGAACTAAGGGGAGGTGAGCTGTAAATTGGAGTCACTAGCTGTCTCCTCATCATGCCATAGGCAATCACTGAGTCTTGGAAATCTCTGCCTCCTATTTTCTTCTTTCTCCTCCATCACTCCTAAGATTCTTTCGAGCTGGAGCCCCTCAGATCCTGTGTCCCCATCAGAGAAGTTAGCTCAAGCTAAAGATGAATGGGAATACCAATGGCTGATGGTGGTGGAAGCAGGAATGGAGTAAAGGGACTCGCATCCCCCCCTGATTTCTTTCTTCCCCTCCATCCCTAGTGGGGAGCCTGATAGTAAACGACTTGTTTAGGGATTGGGAGGAAGGGGCAGATGGCCCATTAGCCTGGGACAGTTTGTAGGAATCTGGTGAGTAGGTTTCAGCTCTCTGTCTCTTCCCCCCACCTCCCTGCAACTGAAAGCCTTTCTCATCTGGAACTGCTGTGTTTTGTTTAGGGGTTTCTCCTTTGAGGAAACCTTACAGCCACGCACCATCACCATTCCCAGTCACCGCCTTCCCCAACCGTAGCCCCCCAGTCCCCCCTCTCTCCGGTGCCTCCCTAGCCTGGTTTGACAGCCTCAGCCTACTCCCTCCTGGGGTTGGGGTGTGTGTGGGGAGCCTGCCCTTCCCCCTCCTCACACAGGGACGGACATGGGATGGGTACTGATAGAGATGCATAAAGGGGCTCTGTACAGCGGCTGTGACGGCGGCGGGCTGAAAGAGTGCAAGAGGGAGAGCCTTGAGCAGAGATGGGGGAGGACGCAGGAGCCGGGGAGACCGGGAGGAGGGGGGGCTAAGAAGGGGGGAGACTTACCTGGCTTCGCGAGTCTGAATCCTCCCCGGCTCGGTCCAGCTCCATCGCGCAGTTCTCTCCAGCCCTTAATCCCCAGACGCGGCGCCCCGCTGGTGCTGCCCGGGGCCCGGGCGCCGGGCTCCCTCGCTTCCCTGCCTGGGTACGCTCGGGCTCCGGGCCACCGGGGGCCACTTCATAGCCGCCGCCGCCGCCGCCGCCGCCTTCCCCGCTGCCGCGTTCCTCTCTGGCAGCTCGGCAGCCCGCGGACCCCGGCCCCGCCACCCCCGGCTTTGGTTCTGCTCGCCTCGCCTCGGGGCTCTTGCGCTCCGACCCGGCACCTCCGCGTAGCTCGGAGGCGACAGAGGCGGCCAGAGTCTGGAGGAGGCTGGGCTCGAGATACAGAGCCGGAGCCGGAGGGCGAGAAGGAGCAGGGACCAGGAAGGGAAGGGGGCCGGAGGGAGGGGAGGGGGAGGAAAGAGGGAGGGGGAGGAGGAAGGAGAGGAGGAGGAGGAGGAAGAGAAGGAGGACGACTAGGGGTGCTAGAGCCCGGGGTCGGAGCGGAGAATCACATCAGTGGCGGCGGATGCGCCCGTGCTTCCAGCAGCACTGACAGCTCCTCTTCACCCTGCCTCCTCTCCCCCCTCCCCCGCCCCATCCATCCCCCTCTTCCTCCTCCCCACCTCCGAGAGGGAGCTGCCAGCGGGACCTGCACTGCTAATGGTCTGTACCAACCTCGCCAGCTGAGGCGGGGGGCCCTCCCTGCAACGGGCGGAGGAGAGAGGGAGGGAGGAGCAGCGAGGAAAGGTCCCCTCGTGGGCTTGGTATCTACTCCCTCCTCCCCCAGCACCCTCTCCATCACCCCAGCCTCTCGGGACTCCCACGGCGCGGATCAAGGACGGATGTGTGGGGAGGGGGCCGCAGGCCTGGGGAAGGGGACTTGGGCATCTCGCTCTCGCTCCTCTAGAGTTAAACCCGGCCGGGATGCCCGCTGCCACCCCCTACCCCCACCCGAGCCGTTCTTGGCTCTCAGCTCAGCAGCTTCGCTTGTCAAAGGGTGATTGTTTCCGGGCTGGGATGGGTGTGCGTGGAGGGAAGGGAGGAAGATTGAGAAGAGGGAGAGAGGTCCATAAGGGAAGAGGCAGAGCTAGAGGTGGCCCTGAAGGGGCCACTCTTCCCACCCCAAGTTTAGACTGTGGCTCCTGTTTGGGGCATGACTTTTACCCTGAGATCTATTGGTGGGAGAGAGTGGGCCCGGTTAAAAGTGTGTGTGTATACATTTATGTTTTAAGAAGTCTAACACTTGAGTCAAGGTGGGGATTTCTACTCTGGTACCCGGTATGTCTTGTCTCTGAAGGCACTGATGAGCTTGAGATCAGAAATGTCTTCCTCTGCCTCCTGCCACTTACATAAAAATGGGGTCAGAGGGCAGTAGGATGTTGGCTACTGTGCTTCTTCCTCACCATTGTACCCAGGACTTTCCAAGGTGAAGACAACTGTGCCAGCCCTAGGAGGATCTGAGTGTTTGTCTCTACCCTGGGGGCCTAGGGTTTTAGTAAGGCCTTGATGGCAACAAATTAAGATCTTAAGAAATTAAGATTTGGAACACAAATTAAGATCTTAAGAAATTAAGATTTGATACCGGAGGCCATGAGGTCTGAAACAAGGAATGAGCATGCATTTCTCCAGGCTTTAGTCAGAAGGGCCCACTGTACTTGTGTCCCTGTGGTACATGTTTGCAGTGTGATATATATGCCTGTGTGTTTAGGGGGAAGGGAGTTACACATGTATGAATGTGTGATTGCTTTCTTGTACTCATAGATACGGTCTTCTGAAGTCCTGTGGAGCTATGGCCCATTTAAAATGCTTTCAGTTAAATTGTGGAAGGCTCAGAAGAAATCTTTGTGCATGTTTTTAATAGACTTCAATGCAAGGGCTACTTCTCCACTGGGGCTTAGCTTGTAGGCATGGCCATATCAGCTATGCCCAAAGTATACACATCCTTTGGGTAAGGCCAAGTTTCCTGTATGTGTTGCTGTGCTGTTTTGGAATGGAGATACTTCTTAAAAGAGCAGAATGAACAAGGCTCCTGCTTTATCCTGGGCGGCCACCTAACACCTCATGTTCAGGTGATGCTAAATCAGGGCATCACTTCCCAATAAATGCTTTCTGCAGTTCTGCTAGAGCTGTTGGTCTTTATCCACTAATCATCTGCATCCTTACCCCAGTCTCACACACACAGCACCTGTGGCCCAGTACCAAGCCCAGGAATTAATGGCTGCCTGCTTGCTCTTCAGAGTAGAGGAAGATCCCAAGAAGATGAAATTTCTAAATCAGCTAAGATCTTAAATGAGGAAGAAAGCCTTAAAAGGCCATCCAGCCCTTTCTGTTATCCTACACCACCACCCTCCAGATGCCAGTAAAGGTGGTGGTGGTGGGGAATGTTTAAACACTCCAATGTTTTACAGCCTTCATAGTCAGGAGTTATGTTAACCTAAATTTTTTTTTCTGCTGGAGTTTAAATCCATTTTCATTTTGGTATTTAGTAATGAAGTGTAGTGGGGCATACTATCTGTGATACCATCCTTCAAAACATCAGATTGTGGTGTAGTAATTTCTTTCCTGGGTAGCTAGGTGGTGCAGTGGATAGAGTGGTTGCCCTGGCATCAAGAGAACCTGAGTTCAAATTTGGCCCCAGACACTAGCTGTGTGACCCTGGGCAAGTCACTTCACTTTGTTTGCTTTACTTTCCTCATCTATAAAATGAGCTGGAGAAGGAAATGGCAAACCCACCCAGTATTTTTGGCAAGAAAATCCCAAATTAGGGTCACAGACAGTCCAACACAACTGAACAACAGTATTTCTTACCCTTAACCCCAACAGACATGCACATATACTTCACCCCTTCGGTCTTTTCTCCAAGTTGAATAACTCAGATTCCTTGTTTACCAAACACATCTCCCTTTTCTCTGATAAATTATCCCATAAATTACTCCCTAGGCTTCAAGGAGGACAGAGGTGGTTAAGTAGGGGTGATAAAAGACAGCAGAAAGGGGGGAGGGATGAGATTTATGGAGGGGACCCAAAAACCTATCCAGACTTCACATCCTGTCTCTCAACCTCATTTGAATCCAGAGTCCCATTATGTCTCACCTGCTATCACTGCCACCCACATCTGAGCCAGATCAGGTCCAAGAGGTGTCATTGCAACATTGTTGTGATGATAATTATGTGCTTTGGTTGGTTTCTGTATGTGTATATGATTCTCTAAGCTCCAAAACCCTAAAAGAATCTATCCTTTGACTCCCCGAGAACAAGGACCATGCCTTTCTACTCTTTCTCATAGTAGGACTGAGTAAAGACATACCTGAAGGTATAGGGGAAAGAGAATAAGATGGGAATAGTTTCAAGTAATAATAACTAGTATTTATATAGCACTTTAAGCTTCACAAATCATTTTCATATAATAATAATAGCTAACATTCATATAGTACTTTAGAGTCTGCAAAATACTTTACAAATATCTTATTTTTATCCTCAGAACAACCTATTATTATCTTTACAGTTGAGGAAACTGAGGCAGACAGAGGTTAAATGCTTTGTACAGGGTCACACAGTTAGTAAGTGCTTGAGATCAGATCTCAACTCAGATCTTCCTGACTCTATTCATTTTGCCACTTAGCTGCCTCAGGCCTGCCACTAATTCAGTGTGTGACCTTGGACAGATCCTTTCATTCCTTTGGGTCAAGGCTTCATCCTATGTAAAAAGACAGAATCGCACTAGATGAGCTCTGGTATTTCTGCCATTCTTGGTGGTGGGGTTGTTGGGAGAAGGAGACTTTGGTTCTCTCTTTAGCTAATGGGAATTTGTATGCATGGAACAAGAAAGGATACATGGCTTCCATCCACACACCACCCTCGTCCTTATAATAACAATAATCATCATGAAATCCCTTTTCTAGGGACACATCCTACAAGTTAGCCCCAGGCTCTGTTTATGGCCTATTTCTTATTTTAAATATTAATTTTTAGAGCCGACTTAAAACAATAATGTAGAATTAAAATGAGAATGAAGAGGCCTCCTTGGTGAAGCTGGAATGGTCCACAAAAAAAAGCTTCCCAGGCAGATTAACTGCAACCCTGCTTGCATTATCCTGCTCACACAAAACTCCATCTCCCCCCCCCCCCATAATTCCCTCTCACCCCACCCCCTCCATTCACCAGATTCACACTGAGCGGAGTCTAGACCGCCCCCTAACCCCCTCCCCCCCACCCCCACTCTCCACTGCTGTGCATACGCAAGCTCACCCTACAGCCCGGGGAGCTCTCAGGAATTGTCCACCCCACAGCTTGATGTTGTACCTTCCCGGTCTGATTCTCAGGTGACTGAATCTTCTCCCCGAAGCCTATCCTCCCACCTACTAGGAGTATCTGGCCTTCCATACTCTGCCCTTCCAAAACCTGCCCCTAAAGCCCAACACAAGAAATGCTTAATATGCAAACCCATAGCCCTCTCCTCTTGTATGAACATTCATGTGTTTATTGTGTAGTTAAGCAGGGACAAGATCTTGGCCTTCCATTTTGCTCCATGCTCTGCTTCTATAATCCGAATCCCAGAAGGGCCCCATAAAAATGCAAAACCCGCAAAGCATATGGGAGGGTCTATAGATTTTTTCCAAATCACCTGTGCCCTAATTTAATATGAATAACAATTAGTTTACTCTTATCAGTTAATTGTTCCCCTTGTGGATTCCAACTGCCTAGGCCTCGGATTCAGTAGCAGCTTTTGTCTGTTCCTGACTTGTAATTATGCTTCTCATCTTCGCCAGCCTCTCCTTCTGCCTTAGCCACCCAAGCAAAATGACTTGAGGTGGTGAGGAGAAGAAAAAAGGAGCAGCTGCCCCTCCCACTTTAGCCCCAGACTCCCACCCTCTTATTACCTTCCCATTAGGCCAGTCAGCGCATGAAGTGCCTAGAGGTCATTAAGGATTGCCTGCAAGGCCCTAGCCCCCAATTTTTCTCCCACCCAGTGCCTGAAATTCTGTCAATAGAGAATATCCATTTGAATATTTGGATATCAATAGAGAATATCAATTTGAGGATAATCACTTTCAGGGTCTTTAAAAAAAATCAAATGCCTCAAGGAGTATTAACAAAATGCCCTTAGGAATATTAACACATTAACACCTTACGGTGAATTTGTTTATGAGATCACTTTCCTCTGAAACTGGAGGGATCTGGGGCATTTTGAGAGCACAGGGTGGTCCAGAGAAGGAAGAGGAGGAGGCTCTGAAAGGGCTAAGAACAGTGGTGAATTGATTCTTCTTTTATTGTTGTGGGAACAGCAGGGATTTTTTCTGTACGTGGACTGTGCCCCTATTATTGGAAATTTTCAAGGGGCTTCAGGAAACCACGGGCTAAGGGAAAGGAAAAAGCATTTACTGGGCTACTGTGTGCCAGGCACTGTCCTAAATGCTTTGTAAATATCTTGTTTGAGTCTCACGACAGCCCTAGGAAGTAGGTGTTATTATTATCAACAGTTTACAGATGAAGAAACTGAGGCACACAGAGGTTAAGTAACTTGCCCAGGGTCATTCAGCTAGGAAGGGTCTGAGGTCACATGGGAATCAGGTCTTTCTGTCTCCAGG